AATTTCCAGGATCTTTTGGTTAATTTTACTACTTAAAGTCATTTAACTTTCAAGTTCCATCCTCTAGAGTCTCAAATTGTTTCGACATACATTTCTTAATTTAATCAATAAACATGTTTTCTTCCTTTCTTTTCCTTGGCTTAAGCTAGTTTTAAAACCCTTCCCTCATGCTCAGGTAGTCGAATTTGATGGCTCCACGGAAATCGGCCAATGCTTGTCGTCGCTATGCCTAAAGCTGGGCATTCGACCAGCTTTATTATCTGGCTATGCACTATACATCGATGACCCTACCACTAAAGGTCTACAATTGTTAAAGGGAAAACAAAAGGTTTGTTTGTCAAAAGCATTATTTCAAGATTTTTGAATGAGAGATTTTGAACGAATATTCGATTCTACAGTTTTCCATTAAGTAGATCATGCTACTTTAAATAATGCTGATTTTATCTGCAGCTTTGCGACTGCCTCTACGAGTGGGAAGTTCGACAACGAGATGTGCTCCGCGGAAGAATCTCAGCTGATTGCACAGCCACACTTTCTTTGCGAATGCGACATTATTGGAGGCATTTAGTAAGTTTTGCCAGAAATTAGCTTGTAATTAGTGGAATAGTAATTTTTCTACAGATATGTAACGAAACAGCTATGGAGAAATCGTTTCTCGTTTGGCGAATGGCTGAGGAGTTGGTCTCTGGCCGAATCCCTACAAGTCCACAATTGGCGGAACAATTGGCTGCTTTATATGCACAGGTAAAGCCTAATTTATCATTTCGATGTGCATATGGTGTAATTGCACACCGCCAGCAGCCTTGAGGAAGATATAGGGGGCAAAATACATTTTAACTGCGATATGCGACCAATATAATCCAAATATTTTTGAAATTTGCTCTTTGGCGTAAAATATAACTTTTATGGTAAGTGAAAGTGACCAATCGAAAACGTGTTACCCTAAAGGATCTGAAGTACTTGGATTCAGAATCACTGTTATTTATAAGCTTTTAAGATGAATTTATATTTTTAAGCTCTCCTATGGAG